TCAGCTACGTTATTCACGTAGCTGAAGTTGCGTACCTTAGTTCGATTTGGGAGTTTAGTGTAGACCAAGCCTTAGTGAGAGTAGGGGAAGAAGATACTTGTCTCACATAGCAAATCTAGATATGTTGATATCTTTATATTCCCATGGCACCTTTCATTCCTACAAATTCCAAAAGCAAGAATACATACTTGTATTTCCAGCCTCTGGCCCTGGAATGCAGTTGCATTGGGATTGAAGATGCATACCAATCAGTGGCTTTTTGCTAAACTATGCATAGTATATATAGAGAAGATTAAATCTCTGCCTACTTGAGAATATATCGTGCTTTCTGTCAATGTCAAAGAGTTTTGTCCCATCTATGCTAGCAGTTAAATTGTTAAATCATTGCTAATATCAGGTTAGTGTGGTAAAAAGATAAATGTAAGAAGTAGTATTGGAAAACTTCCTGAAAGTGAGATCTAGTATTCCCTTTATTTATTTACCCAATTACTAAACTCTCTGGGGGCACAGATACTATTCATGCCACGCATGACAAAATTGGGGGGCAGGGAAAAGATTCACCCTTAACAAAAATATACATCCACTCACCCCATGCCCCAGTTTAAAACCAGAGACCTGATCTACACTTAAAATTTATACTGGGTAGCCGTGTTGGTCATGGCTGTGGAAAAACCACATCCCTCGTGACATAGCTATGCTAACCAAATGGTCAGTGTAGACGCAGCTATGCCGAAAGAAGAGTGCTTCTGTCAGCATCTTACAGCAAAAAAACTTCAGGACCAGACTCCAAAGAGAAACTGCTGAGCTCCAGTTCATTTGCAAATTTGACACCATCAGATCAGGATTAAACAGACTGTGAATGGCTATTCAACTACAGAAGCAGTTTCTCCTCCCTTGGTGTTCACACCTCAACTGCTAGCAGAGCACCTCACCCTCCCTGATTGAACTAACCTCGTTATCTCCATACTGATTTATACCTGCCTCTGGAGATTTCCATTACTTGTCATCTGAAGAAGTGAGGTTCTTTACCCTACCGAAA